TGCAATATGTCAGTCTATGGGTGAGGTGTTGCTCATGGCCCTTGTTCCTTGTAAGCACCATTGGGTTCGACATATGTGTCAGTAATCTTGTTGTTATGAGACAATATAATCTAAGTGCTTGTCTGTGGGCAGTACCTGAAAACTGAGGTTTGGTCCATGGGCATACTGATGTGTTAGTTATGATGGACCATGGCCATTGTTTTATGACTTGCTACTGCCCATGGACAGAGTGAATATGGTCTGCCCATGGTTAATTTGGCAGTTTTACTGGATGTCCCATGGGCAAACTGACATAGATTACAGATGATGGATGGGTAATGTGTATTGCCCATGGGCAAGGTAGGGATTGCCCATAGACTACTTTGCTGATGTTGGCCCATAGATAAAAATCTGGTAATTCATTGTCCCATGGGCAAACTTTTCCACAAGAATTAAGGCCCATGGACGATGTTGCTAATGATATACATTGCCCATGGGCTATCATAGGCAATGGCTACCTTGGCCCATGGGCTTTGAGGGATCATGGGGTTTTTGCCCATGGCCAATCCCTCACACGGGAGTCTTCTGCCCATGGGCTAAGGGAGGGGTTGATAGTATTGCCCATGGGCCTTGGAGAGGATGAGTGGTATTGCCCATGGCAATGCCATGGAAACAGGATATTCTGCCCATGGGTATTATTGGAGGGTGCTTGTTTGGCCCATGGGCATTGTAAAGATGGATATGCTTTGCCCATGCCCTATGACAATACCTTATGTACTAAGGTACCTTGTAGAAGCAAAGGCCTTGGCATAGTTTGCTAAATACTGATGGACATATGCTGGCCCAAACTTGAACAGATCCACTGCTGCCAAGTCTACATGTTATGTGGCAAAGCCATATACATTGGGGGCCATATGCACCAGGGGATGCATAAAAAGAGCAGGCCACTAGGATTATTAATGACAAGGAGCTGGCAGGGCCATACATGCTCAGCAGGCTGCCAGGATTAGTAATTACAAGGAGTGAGCAGGGCCGTATGCACTGGTGGATGCATAGAAGCAGTGGGCTGCCAGGATTAGTAATTGGAAGGAGCGGGCAGGGCCGTATGCACCGGTGGATGTGTAGGGAGAATCAGCTGCCATAGTGAGTAATTGAGAAGAGTGGGCAGGGCTGTATGCATTGGCGGATGCATAGAAGCAACAGGCTGCCAGGATGAGTAATTGAAAGGATCTGGGAGGGGCCGTACACACAGGGGGATGCGTAGAAGCAACAGGATGCCAGAATTAGTAACTGCATGGAGCGGGCAGGGCTGTACACACCAGTGGATGCGTAGAAGCGGTGGGCTACCATAATGAGTAACTGCATGGGCCGTATGCCCTGGCGGATGCATAAAAGCAGCATGCAAAGTGGTGGGCTGCCAGGATGAGTAATTGAAAGGAGCAGGTGGGGCCGTATGCACCGGTGGATGTGTAGAAGCAGTGGGCTGCCATAATGAGTAACTGCATGGAGCGGGCAGGGCCGTATGCACCAGTGGATGTGTAGAAGTGGTGCACTGCCAGGATTAGTAATTGAAAGGAGCGGGCAGGGCCGTACGCACAGGGGGATGTGTAGAAGCAACGGGATGCCAGGATTAGTAATTGCAAGGAGTGTTTGGGGCCGTATGCACTGGTGGATGTGTAGAAGCAGCAGGCTGCCAAGGTTAGTAATTACAAGGAGTGGGCAGGGCCGTATGCACTGGTGAATGCGTAGAAGCAATAGGATGCCAGGATTAGTAATTGGAAGGAGCGGGCAGGGCCGTATGCATCGGTGGATGCACAGGGAGAACCAGCTGCTATAGAGGAGTGGGCAGGGCCATACGCACCGGTGGATGCATAGAAGCAGTGGGCTGCCAGGATTATTAATTACAGGGAGCTGGTGTGGTCGTATGCACCGGTGGATGCGTAGGGAGAACCAGCTGCCATAATGAATAATTGCATGGAGCAGGCAGAGCCGTACACACCGGTGGATGCATAGAAGCAGTGGGCTGCCATAATGAGTAACTGCATGGAGCGGGCAGGGCCATATGCACCGGTGGATGCGTAGAAGTGGTGGGCTGCCAGGATTAGTAATTGAAAGGAGCAGGCAGAGCCGTATGCACCAGTGTATGCGTAGAAGCGGCAGGCTGCCAAGATTATTAATTACAGGGAGCTGGTGTGGTCGTATGCACCGGTGGATGTGTAGGGAGAACCAGCTGCCATAATGAGTAATTGCAAGGAGCACATGGGGCCGTATGCCATGGTGGATGCGTAAAAGCAGCGTGCAAAGCGGTGGGCTGCCAGGATTAGTAATTGAAAGGAGCAGGTGGGGCCGTATGCACCGGTGGATGCGTACAAGCGGTGCGCTGCCATAATGAGTAATTGCATGGAGTGGGCAGGGCTGTATGCACCAGTGGATGTGTAGAAGCAGCAGGTGACCAGGATTGGTAATTACAAGGAGCTGGGAGGGCTGTACGCACAAGCGGATGCGTAGAAGCAGTGGGCTGCCATGATTATTAATCACAAGGAGCGGGCAGGGCTGTATGCACCAGTGGATGCATAGAAGCAGGCCGCCAGGATTAGTAATTGCAAGGAGCGCACGGGGCTGTATGCCCTGGCAGATGCATAAAAGCAGCAGGCTGCCAGGATTAGTAATTACAGGGAGCTGGTGTGGCCGTATGCACCGGCAAATGTGTAGAAGCAGCGGGCCGCCAGGATTATTAATTATGGGGAGCTGGGAGAGCCGTACACACAGGGGGATGCATAGAGAGAGCAGGCTGCCAGGATTAGTAATTGCAAGCAGCTGGTGGGGCCGTACACACCGGGGATGTATAGCAAGGAAACCCACCATTAACCCACCAATGCAGCCAATATCACCCCCATGCATTAGTCAAAGAAGCACTGTTTGCAGGATGTAGGGGATGTATTTAGGGGCTCTGTGTGCCCTATCTACCCCCACACACACTGGGATGTATCCCCAGAGCAACACAGGACAGCAACAGGCTGATTCAGGGCACAACCATTGCATTAATGTACAATACCAGTGGGTAATCCTACTCTTGTAGGACCCCAGGTACACCTCTGGGCCAAAACTTGGCCCATATATCACATTGCCCACTGCACCTTGGGGCTCTGGTAGGAGACCGCCCATGGACGGAGTCATCAGTACCAGTGCATATATGAGCCATGGTCCTACAGGGGAGTGTATACTTGACCCATACCTTTATGGACAGTCCATGGGAAACAGGTCTCCAAGACAGAAAATGTGCACCCAAAAGATATATCTATAGGACTAGTTAAATGAGGGGTCTAAAGTGCG